GCTGAGGGAGTTTGTGAGGAGCAGGAAATATCTCTGCCCTCTAAGAGTTCTCTATCTGATTGGAGATGGACATCTAGTTATGCAAGCCATGTTGAGTCCTCTCTGTACTTCTCCAGGGTATGGGAGGACAGAATAAATGCCTGCCTTAAGGATGCCCCTTCTCAATCCCCAAACTCTGTGGATGAGTGACCTTTCATGGCAAAGGGGACTTCGCAGCTGCAGTGCAAATCACTTAACTTCGCAGTGATTAAGTTAAGGACCTTGAGATGGAGAAAGCAGCTGCAATAATCCAGAGTAGGCTCAGTGCAGTCACAAGGGTCCTTATAAAAGGGGGACAGGAGGGTAAGAGAGAGAGTGATTGGAAGATGCTACACTGCTGGCTTTGAAGATGGAGAAAGGGGCCACAAGCCAAGGAGCGTGGGCAGCCTCCAGAAATCTGGAGAAGGTCAGGCTTCAGAACTCCCCTGGAGCCTCCAGAGGGGTACAGCTCTGTAGACACCTTCATTTCAGTCCAGTGAAACCTCCAGACTATGAGATAATAAATTGGTGTCATTTCAAGCCACAGAGTTTGTGGTAATTTGTCACAGAAGAATAGGAAACTACCACATGGAGGCATTAAATAAATACCTGCAGGGAATTGGAGCACAGCAAGGGGTATGGAGGTAAAGGGGATCGCCTGAGCAGCTTGTCAGGAGGGCCCACATGGGCCTCACAAAGGGCACTGTCCAATTCCCCTTTTGTTTTCCCTAATGATTTGGGTGAAAATACTTATCAAACTCGTATCTGGCCTAAAGAGAAGGGAGAGAGAGAGAGAAACCAGGTGCAAGTCCAGAGATCTCCGCAGGATGGGAGAGTGGGTTAAGCCCCACGTGGAAGTCCAGGGAGGCATCTGTCTGAACACCCAGCAGCACGGCCCTAGCAGGGGAGGAGACGGAGGAGCAGCGAGTGGGAAGGGGATGGAAATGCCGGATGCTTCTGGAGAGTCTGGCAGGGGCAGCCACGGGATGTGGCAGCGGAACAGTCTCCTGAAGCCCAGGCAGACTCAAGAAGGACAAAGTACAGCTTCCTCCTCTGGCAGCACCTGCTTTCTAAGAGACCACCAGCAAACAGAGTCGTAGCCTCACCATGGCCCAGAAGGCCCTGCTTTGAGAGCAAGTCAAGCAAAAGCTCCCACACTACAGCTAGAGAGGGGAGAGCCCCCTGCCATTAAGCTGGTGTGGGCCTAATTCACCTGTACCCCACCTGACCTGCATCACCAACTGGTAGCAAAATGAAGTCACAGTTCTTTTAATTCCATTTTAATTGTACTTTTAATATTATATATATATACACACATACACACACATATATAAACTTGTTATATTTTCATATGTATTTGTCATTATATATATTAATATATACTAAATCAAAATGTCAATTTAGCCTGGTGCAGTGGCTCTCACCTGTAATCACAGCAAGGTAGAAGGATCACTTGAGGTCAGGAGTTTAAGACCAGCCTGGGCAACACAGTGAGACCCTGTCTCTACAAAAAAATTTTAAAAATTAGCCAGGCAAGGTGATGTGTGCCTGTAATCCCAGCTACTCAGGAGACTGATGTAGGAGGATCTCTTGAGCCCAGGAGTTGAAGTTTGCTGTGAGTTATGATGACACCACTGTACTCCAGCCCAGGAGACAGAACAAGACTCTGTCCCTAAAAAATAAAAAAAACTAGATTTCTTCATGGCCTCCTGCTCTGCCATCCCTATCTTGAAGCTTGAAAAAAGTGTTAATTGGGCAGCACCTATGGCTCAGTGAGTAGGGTGCTGGCCCCATATACTGAGGGTGGTGGGTTCAAACCTGGCCCTGGCCAAACTACAACAAAAAAATAGCCGGGCGTCTGTAGTCCCAGCTACTCGGGAGGCTGAGGCAAGAGCATCGCATAAGCCCAAGAGCTGGGGGTTGCTGTGAGTAGTGATGCCATGACACTCTACCAAGGGAAACAAAGTGAGATTCTGTCTCTAAAAAAAAGTATTAATTTAAATATTTTAACAGGGTAGGTTATACATATAATAAGATGTTAATTGTTGAAAAATTGTTTTGTTTTTTTTTTTTGAGACAGAGCCTCAAGCTGTCCCCCTGGGTAGAGTGCTGTGGCATCACAGCTCACAGCAACCTCCAACTCCTGAGCTCAAGCGAGTCTCTTGCCTCAGCCTCCTAAGTAGCTGGGACCACAGGCACCCAGCACAACGCCCAGTTATTTTTTTGCTTGCAGCCATCGTTGTTTGGCGGGCACAGGCTGCATTCGAACCCACCACCTTAGGTGTATGTGGCTGGTGCCTTAGCCACTTGAGCCACAGGCGCCGAGCTGAAAAATTGTTGATTTAAATGCATCAACAGAATATGTTCTACATATAAGAAGTACATGTATCTAAACGTGCTACTTGAAGGGTGAGCACAGCCCTGCAACTGTAGGTTCCATTAAGAAACAGTGCCTGGCCACCCTGTTTCTGCCTAAAGGACAGTGCTGTAATTTGAATACAGATGTGGATCACCTCTAAGCACGAGCCCGTCACAAGTTGCTCTTCTCAGTCAAAGCAGGTGTCAGGAGCCACTTGTTGACTGAGTAATGATCATACTTTAAGAAGAGGCCATTGAAATTCAAGGCAGATCAAGCCTAGTGCTATTGAACAGTAGCTGGACACAGACCCTAGAGCAGGCGTCCTCAAACTACAGCCTGCGCACCACATGCAGCCCGCCTCGGACATTTATCCGGTCCACTGGGTGTTTTTGCCACCACTGCCTGTCCTGCTTAGCAGCCAACTTGTCCTGGGGCCCGTAGTCCGGCCTTCCAACAGTCTGAGGGACAGTGAACTGGCCCCCTGTTTAAAAAGTTTGAGGACCCCTGCCCTAGAGCCTCCCTGTATCCCCAGGCCTGCATGGAGTCTGACCCTGGAATCCATGAGGCTGGATGCAGAGCTGGGAGCACCAGGCTCATGTGAAACACACTTGGCTTTCAACCCTGACTCCACCACCGATTAGCACTGTGGCCTTGATCTTTGCTTACTCATCTATAAAATGGGGATAATGGTACCCACCACCAGGATAGTTCAGTGATTAAATGAAAGTATCTTATTATCTCTGGCGCATTCTGTGACTGTAGCAGGGCTCCACGTGGATAGTAACGGTGTTCAACATGAAGGTGTCACTGTTTAGTGTTCATTCATTTAGGTCCCATTCAAAAGAAGCATTTATTATGGGCCAAACAGAAATCAGAGCTAACATCAGGGTTTAATGCCCGTACTTGTTGTGGGGCTGGAGAGAGTCTGGAAGGACCTGGAATGGCCTGGACATTGGTCTTCTGGATGTGAGAAGGGAGGGGCCTCTTCACTGCTGTGTCTGGGTCCCTCCCTCCCTTGGAGCAACCCACTCTCCCACTCCAACCTGAGTCTGAGCAGCAAAGAGCTTTTACAGATGGAAGTAGGGAGTTCTGATCCCTGGACACAGCATTCTGGCCTCCCTGTGTGCAGCAGTGTGTGATACAGGTGGTAGGAATTAGGATTGCTCTGCTGGGGAAGTTTGTCCTGGTGAACCAGGAGCTATAAAAGGTTCATACCTGCTAACTCGGAAGTTTGTCCTGGTGAACCAGGAGCTATAAAAGGTTCATACCTGCTAACTCGGAAATTGTGTATCTGGGAGTCTGCCTTAGTAAATAAAACTGTGTGTGAAAGGATGTCTGCAAATCCAAGGATATTAACTAGTACATTGTTTTCAACAGGAAAAATGGAAATTCCTGAATCTCCAGCTGTAGAGGAATGGTTTAATTATGGCTTATATTTATGGCAGAATATTATATAACTGTTAAAGTGGAATTTGGAATTTTGATGCTTGTGTTTATTTTTGATGGACTTTTTTTTTTTGTAGAGACAGAGTCTCACTTTATCACCCTCGGTAGAGTGCCATGGCATCACACAGCTCACAGCAACCTCCAACTCCTGGGCTTAGGCGATTCTCTTGCCTCAGCCTCCAGAGTAGCTGGGACCACAGGCTCCCGCCACAATGCCCGGCTATTTGTTGTTGTTGTTGTTGCAGTTTGGCCGAGGCCGGGTTTGAACCTGCCACCCTTGGTATATGGGGCCAGCACCCTACCCACTGTGCTACAGATGGACTTTTTAATGCAGGGATTTAAAAAATACATGCTGAGGCCAGGTGTAGTAGCTCACGCCTGTAATTCTAGCATTCTGGAAGGCAGAGGTCAAGAGTTCAAGACCAGGTTTAGCAAAGTGAGACCCTGTCCTTACTCAAAATAGAAAAATTACCCAGACATGGTGGCTTCTGTAGTCCCTGCTATTCAGGAAGCTGAGTCAGGAGGATCACTTGAACCCAGGAATTTGAAGTTGCCGTGAGCTAGACTGAGACCATGGCACTCAACCCTGGGCAACAGAGTGACTGTCTCCCCACCCCACCCCCCAAAGCACATTTAAATGTGTCCTCTCTTTCTCTCTCTCTCCTCCTCCTGTCTCACACACAAAGAAAAAAGATAGGAATGTGTGGTAAGATCGTGATTCTCCATTTTTTTTAATCTTCTTTTATATTTTCCTAGTGCTCTATTTTGACCATACATTATTTCTAAAATTAGAAGAGGAATAAAAGCATTTTACAACCCATGCTATGATGAAAGAGCCTGCTAGGTGGGGCAGGGGGGGCCTGCATGAGTCACCAGCTACCAGTCAGGTGAGTTCCTTGACACCCTCTCATGTAGACAGGGTGGGAGAGGGCCTGGCTCAGAAGGTAGCTGTGAATACTAATTTGTATAGAGTGAACTATGCATTGTTAATTATAAAAGCACAAAAGCAAAACCCTAGACTGGCTTTGCTTTTGTGTTTTTATAAATAACAATGCATAGTTTGGATAAAAGCTGTAGTTTCTTGTGAGCTTGTTTGACCAGGCCAGTTTCCTTTTGGAGGGCACACCTGCCCGAGCCCCTGTGGGCCCTGGTTAATGTTCTCTCTCCTTCTTTGCAGCTGCCCATGATGGGAGGAGCTTTCATGGACTCGCCCAATGAAGACTTCAGCACCGAGTACTCTTTGTTTAACTCTTCCTCCAATGTCCACGCGGCCTCCAATGGCCAGGGCCAGCTGGAAGAGCCTCCCAGGTCCTCCAATGATGCCGTCTTGCTGTGGATTGCCATCATAGCGACGCTGGGGAACATTGTGGTGGTGGGGGTGGTGTACGCCTTCACCTTCTGAGGGAATAGGGTGATGGGCAGCCACAGGTCGGCTCACCCTGTGTTGGGCTTACCATGGGTTAGCGCTCTGCCCATGGCACTGTCTTGCTATTGGCCCTTGGCTATTCCTATGTTCTAAAACCAGGAATTCTGACCACTTGAATGGCCTCTAGGGGTAGAATCCATGCAATTGGAATTTCCCCAGGCAGCCCTGATTTCTAATATTCCCTGGTCAAGCTGATTCAGAAAACAGAGAAGTAGGGGCTTCCTGCCCCTGGAGGTTTAAAGAACGGAGCAAAGCTTTCAAAGAGCAGCTTGGCAAATTCTTGAAGTTGCATTCTAAGAACATGAGACCAGATGGAACAGTCAGTTGGATGTAACATATAGCTGTGATTTGATGACCACTTGCTGGTGGTAAATAATCATTCATGTGTCTTGTCTTTATGCAAACTTATCAAACCTTGTGTACAGGGTGCTGGGGCAAGAGTGGCCCATAGAACTTCAGTGTTCCCAGCCCAGTCTCAGCTCCATATTCAGCCCATTGGCATATTGGTGGCCACCTTGTATAAATTTGACTTAAAAATGGCACCTTCATCATCAGACACCCAGCCCCTTTTGAGACCCAACATATCAGAACACTCATTACTAGTAACATGCTGGGTTTCTGGGGGTGTTGGTGGTGGGTTTTATCTGCTGGATGGATTCTCTTCTTTTTGAGGAGAAGAAAGAGTATCTTTAAAAACTAGATCTGCCAGGCAGTGAGTTCCTTGGGCCACCCACATTAAGATGCTCTTTCTTCTTTGAGGAATCCTAGAATTTTAGAGATGAATAAGCTTGTGTCCACAGAATTCTTTGGAGAGGGGCGTGATTAGCCTGTGGTCAAATGGCAGCTTAATGGGGGAGTCAGAAGATGTTTCCTAACCCTGGGCTCAGCACTCTCTCTGCCCCCATCTACACGTTCTCCTGAGCAGGCCCTGCCTTGAAGCTTTAGGGCAGAGACACTACCTTGGGGAGATCACCCACAGGGTCTGGAAACTGGATGCAAGATCCCAGGCCATGCAGATACCTGCATTTTACACTTGTCCTGGATACCATGCACTCTTCTACAGTTGTGAATAGGCTTCTGCTCCAGCCAGTTTTCTTAAATTCTTGAAAAATCAATGTCTGAGGGTTGTAGCAAGCAAGGAGGCTCCCAAGTAAAGACCAGAGTGGCCTGGGACATGTGGGGAGCAGCACTTAGGGAAGGCCACGGCATGCACTGCTGCCCTTCCCCACCTGCACGAGGCAGCCTCCCCATGCAAACAGGAGTGGAAAGGATCTCCAAAATGGGCTCACTTGCCTACAGCCCCAGAGTAGCTTTTCTCCCTACACCTCAAAACAAAAAGACAAATGGTATAAATTCCTTTCCTTGGTGGAGAAACTTTAAAGACTGTTAAGAAGCCCTTGGTTGTATCTGGGGACAATTGCAAAAAGGCCAAATTTGCTACTGCAGTCTCAGAAGAGATGAATGTTTTTGATGACAGGCAAAGAGACATCTTAATTGTCCAGAGGTGGCACTCACTCTTGGAGCTGCTGTGGTAACAGGATTGTTGCTCACAGCCTCCAGCTCTTACTGGCCACATCTGTCACCACTGCCACATGTCCGTCATCTAGTACTTCAGCTCAAGTGGAGGTCATGGATGCAGAGAAGCAGCCCTACCTTGGCTCTGAGGAAGAAAGGACATGGACGTTTGCCCGGGACTCCTTCTGGAATCATCCACAGGGCAGAGGCTGGGCTGAGCAGTCAGCTGCTGGATGGATGGCTGTTCATCCTGGCTGCTTTTCCAGCAAACTGCAGGTCTGTCCCTGCACAGGGACTTGAAGTAAACAGTTGTCTCCATGACGGAACCCCAGGAGAGAAGTCTGGAACCACAGAGGGGGCCATGATGTCTTCATGAGGGTCATGCCAGCCCACACCTGATTCTTCACTTTCTGGCTCCACATCTCCAGGAGGACCTGCAGCCCCAGAAAGAGGCAGGTGGAAGCTCCCTGCTCTCCAGGTGGCCTAAGAAAATGGCAGTAGGGAGAGAGGGCTCTGTGTGCTGCCAGAGGGAAGAGGGCAGGAGAATGAGGGTGGCTTCTAACTCTGAAGAAGACTGCGGTCCCAGCCACTGAGTACTTCTGACTCCAGGAATCTCCCCTATGACACACCCCACATCCCCTGGCATAATGTCAGTTAAGTTTGATGTTCCAGTCTCCCTCCCTTTTCAGTGTCAGCCATGGGTGGATAGGCTCATTGGAGTCCACCTTATCTATACTGCATTATGCAGATTGCAGAGGTGGGCTTGGGGTCACCCCATCTGTCTCCTATGGTTCTTCACCTAACAGTGAGGACGGATGTGCCTGCTAGTGTCCACTTCAGGAGTACAGGATAGATTTTCTCCCTGGGAGTGAGCTGTAGTCTCCCTCCTGCCTCAGCTGTTACCAGAGGGGAGGACAGGGGCCTGCCCTCATTGCTTGAGTGTTGTGTTCAGGTACTGGTAGAGTCACAGGCACATACCTAATCCTTACAGTCACCCTACAGCATCACTGCTCCAATACACAGGTAAGGAACCTTATCTCTGAGGCTCAGAGGAGTGAAGTGACTTTCCTGAGGCCACACAGCATGAAGTGATGAGCTAGGATTTGAACCTGGTCTCTAAGCCAGGCTCTTTCTGTCACTCCATACTTCCTTTTGTGGCTGGGTGGCACCCCCAGGGCACATTTGAACCAGGTCCTGTATCTGCAGAGGCCGTTTCTCAAGGGGCCACGCCATGATTTGGCTTTGGCCACCTCTGGTTTCCACAGGTCCCTGATCGTCCTCAGAATGAGACACAGTCAACCCCCTTCCTCATGCCCTCTCTGCCCAGACTTCAAGGGTGGTGGTCCCTGATGCCTGGCCCTCGGTTGAAGATTGTACTCAATTCTTCTTGTGAGGCCCTGGGGAAGTTCCCAGAGACCAGTTTTCTGAGAATACACGCAGAATGAGACCCCAGCCAGGACTAGGGAACTAAACAGAAGTGTTCACCCAGAAGCTCATGTAGCCAGAATTGGGATCTAGAGTCGTGAGATGGTGCTGCTTTGCAAGTTGATCCTGACCTGGGCCCAGGCCTTTCTTTGGGCTCCAGGACTCTCCAGAGCAGGGCAGCTTCTCCCTGGGGGAAGTGGGCCCCAGCATACCCTTGATTTGAAGAATCAGTGCTGAGAAAGGAAGGGGCTGGCCTCTTCCATAGCTGCCACTCCGGAGAGGCTCCTGCATTTGCTGGGATCTTCTCTGTGCTTGCCCCTCCATGTGCCCCTCACTTCTCCTCTGCAAGCCAGTTGGTGTCTGCATGTGTGTCTGCATGTGAGATACTGATTCAGAACAGTGAGTGACTTGCTGCTTGGGAGCTGAGTTGCCGTGACTGGAAGACTTTGAGGATAGGCTAGAAGCCACTTCAGCCAGACCTGTCCTAAGGGCGTTCGTGCTTCTTCAGAGGCCAGACCCCTTTCTACCCTGCATTGTTGCTGTCCCTTCCCTTTCTAACAAAATCAAGGTCAGGAGGCAAATGAGACTCCCCACCGCACCCCCAGAGAAAAAGGATTTTATCTCCTTGTAGGTCCCCTAGGATGGTGAACAGGGTGGTAATGTTTGGAGGGAGAGGCAGCAGGCTTTTCTTCAGCCCCTGTTCAAGGGCAAGGCTTGGAAGCCTGCCCAGGCCTCGGCAGATATTGGGATCAGCCCCTGGAGACTGGAGAGACCTGGCCACCTCTGTCTGCTGTCAGTACCGCTGCCTGGTTCCATCAAGACAAATGGTATTTTCCCTCTCTGGGAGCACATCTGCCTACATCATTACCAGTGATATTATTACTTATCATTCTCACTGCTGCCAGGTTTGCACGCTTCCCCTGTGTTGTGTGCTCTATCTGTGTCTCAGTTATTTCTCAAGTCACCCCGAGGGGTCAGGATTGAGTGAGCAGAGAAGTGTACATAAATTTCTGTGCCATTTTTCTGTTGAGAAAACTGAGGCCAGATCATGCACCTGATTGCTTACAGCTAAGGAGCTGTGTACAGACCCAGTTCTGTCACATTAGAGGTTGAGTCCATGCCCCACCCCACTCTGCATCCATGCCCTCTATTTTGAGACCTCTGAAATGGACAGGCATGGGGCCTCAGAGGCTGAGGCTGAGGTTGAGGTTTGGTCCTGGGGAACATGTAGTCAGACGGCCGTGCCCCAGTGTAAACCCTGGAAGGGGAGCGCACGTGTGCACGTTCAGAACCTCACGATGATAAGTTTTAGAGAGCATCTAATCAGGACCTTTCGTATTTGGAGAGCGTGGATGAGACTGCATTGAAAATGAGTGGAGAGCTGACACGTCTCTGCATGCCTGACCAAGGGCTCAATCATTTGGGCTATGTGTGTTTGCCAGGAAGCAAAGGGATTACCCTGGATTACCAGCTCAGCCTTGAGATGGCTCGTATTCTCTGCCTGCTGCCACCTGGGCCCCTCTGCTGCATCCTGGCAGATGTCCAGTCCATTCATTGCCCCTAAACAAATCCCGAGGGTGCTCTGAGCTGCTGTGATGGGGAGGCCCACAGAGCTCTGCTCAGGGAGCCAAAGGGAACGGTCACCCCTGGATGTCCCACATTCACCTGTCTCCACCCCTCCCATCCCCCGGTCATTCAGTAAGAGGGATAGAGGAGAAGGTGGGTGAGCTGCATGCTGAAAACTCAGAGGGACAGAGCCTGCAACCTCCAAGCAGGAAAAGGAGACTCCTTGAGAAACCCAGATAACCAGAATTATAATGGCACCAAAATATTCCCAATGCATTCTCCTGAGATGGGAGCTTGAACATTTACTGAGGGTTGTCTGTTTGCTTGTTTGTTTGATGGAGGGGTATTGGGAGGGACAGGTGACAAGGAACAAGATAATGATGCAAACTCTAGTGATTGAAGAAGATGAAGGATTCCCCCGCAATGAGAAAATGACAACAGTCTGAAGCATAAAGGTCAAAAGTACACAAAATTGACTACATAAATTTTGAGACAGAAGTCTATATTGTTCTTACTGTAAATATCACAGATTTTTTTTTTAATCAAGATAGAAAATAAAAGCAGAGAATGACTCAGACACTGACTCTTGGAGAGGCTGCACAGGCAGCAGGGTATCTGGGCGTCCCGCACATCTATCTTTTGACCATAGTGATGGTCTTGTGCCTGCTCAGACCACCCCACCCCTACATTTCTAAGGCTTATCATCCACTCCTGATTCTTGACTTCTTGTCTCCCCTAGAGGAGGTTTGAGCTCCATTTGGCCTTGGTAATAAATCCCACCAGACACACAGTGTTTACC